ATCAAGTAAAAATCAGAGTGACTCGCTGCAAACTGGCAGAAAACAGCCCAATTTTACGGCAAACAAACCATAACATGTTTTTCCTGCAATAAAGCCAAACGCAGCGTATTTAAAACACAGAAAGGTAGAAATGCTCTTTTTTGTGACGTAAGGCTCAAGGTAACCTAATTAAGTTGCCAACAAGCCAAAACATTTTTCCGGTAATATAGAGCGTCCAAAGTGTAGTTTGGTTACGGAAACAGAGAACAAGGTTGTCCTCAGAAAGACGATTCTGAGACAGCGTAACTCAGCCAAAAGAAAGCAAAACCGTTGTTTGAGTAAAATCAAGTGAAAATCAGGGTGACTCGCTGCATACTGGAAGAAGACCTTTTTTTGGTGCAATAAGACTGAAAACAACCCAATATTACAGCAAACAAACCAAACATGTTTTTTGTGCTATAAAGCTGAGTCCAACGTGTTTTAGCAAGGAAAAAGCAAAAACGCTTTTTTTTGTGATATAAAACTCAAAGCAGTGCAATTTTGTTGCCAACATACAAAAACGTATTTTCGCTACTGTGAGAGTCGAAAAAGGGCATTCAGAAACGAAAAACGAAATCGCTGTTTGTTTGTAACAAAATGCTCGAAACATCCGATTTCATTGCCAACACGCCAAAACATGTTTTCGATAAGATAAAGGGTCAAAAGCACAGTTTACGTAGGAAGCCAAGGAAAAGCCTCTTCTCAGAAACATAATGCTGAAAACAACGTAACTTAGCCCAAAACAAACGAAAAGGTTCTTTTGAGCAAAATGAGATAAAAATCAGCATGACTCGCTGAAAACTGGCAGAAAACCTTTTCCCGGTGCAATAACGCTGGGAACAGCCCCATTTTACGGCAAACAAACCCAAACATGTTTTTCCTCTAATAAAGCTAAACGCAGCGTATTTTAAACACAGAAAGGCAAAAACGCTGGTTTTTGTGATATACGGCTCAAAGATAATCTAATTTAGTTGCCAACAAACCAAAACATTTTTCCAGTAATATGGAGCATCAAAAGTGTAGTTTGGTTACGAAAACAGAGGTAAAGGTTGTTCTCAGAAAGAGGATTCTAAAACGGCGTCACTTAGCCAGACACAAGTAAAAACGTTGTTTTGAGTAAAATGAAGTAAAAACCAGGGTGACTCGCTGCAAACTGGATGAAAAACTATTTCAGGTGCAATAACGCTGGCAACAACACAATTTTACGGCTAACAAACCAAAATATGCTTTTCATGCTATATAGCTGATTCCAGCGTGTTTTAGCAACAAAAAAGCAAAAACGCTTTTTTTTGGTGATGTATAGCTCAAGGAAGCCCAATGTTGATGTTAACAAAGCAAAACATATTGTCGGTGCTATGAAGGTTGAAGTAGCGCATTTTGCAACGATAAAATCAAATTGCTGTCTTTTTGTGATATAAGGCTCGAAGCTTCTAATTTAGTTGCAAAAAAAAAACAAAACATGTTTTCGGTAAGAGAGAGCGTCAAAAGTGCAGTTTAGTTACAAAACAGAGAAAATGGTTGCTCTCAAAAAGATAATGCTGAAAACAGCGTAACTTAGCAGAAGACGAGCAGAAACGTTGCTTTTATTAAAATCAAGTAAAAATCTACGTGACTCACCGCAAACTAGCAGGAAACCTTTTTCCCGTGCAATATCGTTGGAAACAGCGCAATTCTACGGCACACAAACCAAAACATGTTTTTCCTGCAATATAGCTGAAAGAAGCTTATTTAAACACACACGCAAAAAAACGCTCTTTTGATGTGACACAAAGCTCAAACCAGCCCCAACTCGCTGCAAACGCACCAAAACATATTTTTGATAAGTTAGAGCGTCAAAAACGTATTTCATGTAGGGAAATGTGGCAAAGGTTGTTCTAAGAAAGCTAATACTGGAGACAGTGTAACTGAGCCAAAACAGGCTCAAACGGAGTTTTGATGGCAATCAAATGAAAATCAAGGTCATTCATTAAAAACTGGAAAAAGAAATCCATTTACCGGTTCAATAACGCTGGAAAGAGCCCAGTTTGACGCCAAACAAACCAAAACATATTTTTTGTGCTATAAAGTTGAGTGGAACGTCTTTTAGCAACGAAAATGCAAAGACGCTGTTTTTTGTGATGTAAAGCTCAAAGAAGCCCAATTTCGTTGTCAACTAACCAAAACATATTTTCCGTCTGAATGAAACTTAAAACAGCGTGTTTTCTCGCAAAAAACTAAATCGCTGCTTTTTGTGACATAAAGCTCGAAGCTTCTAATTCAGTTGCAACCAAACCAAAAGATGGTTTTGGTAAGATAAAAGGTCAAAAGCGCAGTTTTGGTAGGAAAAAAAAGGAAAAGCCTGTTCTCAGAAACATATTGTTGAAAACAGCGTAACCTAGCCGGAAAGAGACGAAAACGTTTCGTTGAGTAAAATCAAGTAAAAATCAGCGTGACTCGCTGCAAACTGGGAGAAAACCTTTTTCCGTTGCAATAACGCTGGGAACAGCCCACTGTTACGGCAAACAAACCAAAACATGTTTTTCCTGCAATAAAGCTAAACGCAACGTATTTTAAACACAGCAAGGAAAAAACGCTGTTTTCTGTGACATAAGGCTCAAAGCAGCCTAGTTTAGTTGGCAACAAACCAAAACATTTTTCCGGTAATATAGAGCGTCAAATGTGTAGTTTGCTCACGAAAGAAGAGGAAAAGGTTGTTCTCAGAAGGAGGATTCTGGAACAGCGTAACTTAGCCAAACACAAGTAAAAACGTTGTTTTGAGTAAAATCAAGGAAAAATTAGGCGGACTCGCTGCAAACTGAAAGAAAACCTTTTTCCGGTGCAATATCACTGCAAAACACACAACTTTACGGCAAACAGACCAAAACATTTTTTTTGTGCTATAAAGCTGAGTGCAACGTGTTTTAGCCAAGAAAAAGCAAAAACGCTGGTTTTTGCGATATAAAGCTCAAAGAAGCTCAATTTCGTTGCCAACTAACCAAAAGATATTTTCGGTGCTATAAAACTCAAAGCAGCGTGTTTTCCAACGAAACACTAATGGCTGCTTTTTCTGACATAAAGCTGGAAGCTTCCAATTTAGCTGCAACTAAACCAAAACATGTTTTCGGTAAGATAAAGCGTCAAAAGTGTAGTTTACCTACAAAACCGAGAAAATGGTTGCTCTCAGAAAGATAATGCTGAAAACAGGGTAACTTAACTAAAACAGGCCAAAACGTTGTTCTGAGTGCCCTCAAGTAAAAATCAGCGTCACTCGCAAAAAACTGGAAAAGAAATCCATTTACCGGTGCAATAACGCTGGAAAAAGCCCAATTTGACGGTAACCAAAGCAAGAACATGTTTTTGGTGCAATAAAGCTGAAAACAGCGTATTCTAGCAATTAAAAAGGGAAAACGCTATTGAGGCTCTTCTCACAAAGATGATGCTGAGAACAACGTAACCTAACCAAAAACTAGCAAAACCGTTGTCACTTAGCCAATCACAAGAAAAAACGTGGTTTTGAGTAAAATCAAGAGAACAGCAGGGTGACTCGCTGCAAACTGGAAGAAAACCTTTTTCCCGTGCAATAACCATGGAAACAACACAACTTTACGGCAAACAGACCGTTGTGTGAGTGCAACGTGTTTTAGCAAACAAAAAGCAAAAACGCTGCTTTTTGCGATATAAAGCTCAAAGAACCCAATTTTGGTGCCAACTAACCAAAACATATTTTCGGTATTATGAAGCTTGAGGCAGCGTGTTTTCTGGCGAAAAACTAAATCGCTGCTTTTTCTGACATAAAGTTCGAAGCTTCCAATTTCGTTGCCAACAAACCAAAACATGTTTTCCGTATGATAAAGGGTCAAAAGCGAAGTTTAACTCGGAAAAAAAGGAAAAGCCTGCTCTCAGAAACATAATGCTGAAAACAGCTTACCATAGCAAAAAACAAACAAAAACGTTGTTTTTGAGTAAAATCAAGTAAAATCAAAGTAACTCGCTGCAAACTGGCAGACAACCCTTTTCCGGTGCAATAACACTGGAAACAGCCCAATTTTACCGCAAACAAAGCAAAACGTGTTTCTCCTGCAATAAAGCTACACGCAGCGTATTTTAAACACAGAAAGGGAAAAACGCTTTTTTTTTTTTTTTTTTTTTGTGACATAGGGCTCAAAGCAACTTAATTTAGTTGCCAACAAACCAAAACATTCTTTCGGTAATATAGAGCGTCAAAAGTGTAGTTTGGTAACGAACAAAGAGGAAAACGTTCTGCTCAAAAAGATGATGCTGATTACAGCAGAACCTAGCCAAAAACAAGCAAAAACGTTGTTTTAAGTAAAATCAAGTAAAAATCAGCGTGACTCGCTGCAGCCTTGCAAAACATCTTTTCCCGTTGCAATAACGCTGGAAACAGGGCAATTTTACAGAAAACAAGCGAACACATGTTTATGGTGCAATGAAGCTGAAAGCAGCGTATTTTAGCATTTAAAAAGGGAAAACGCTACTTTGCCGTAAGATAAAGCTTAAAGCAGTTTAATTTAGTTGCCAACAGACCAAAACATGTCTTTGCTGCGATAAACCGTGAAAAACCGTAGTCTAGTTACAAAAGAGTACAAAGCGTTGTTCGCAGAAAGATAATGCTGAGGACAGTGGTAACTTAGCCGAAAACAAACGAAAACGTTGGTTTAGTGAAATCAAGTTCTACTTAGGGTGACTAGCTGCAAAGAGGCAGAAACGTTTCTTCGATGCAGTTACGCTGGAAACATGTTTTTGGTGCGATACAGCTGAAAGCAGCGTATTTTAGAAACCAAAAGGCGAAAACGCTTTTTTGTGAGCTTTAACTCACAATCGCCCGGTTTAATTGCAAACAAATAAAAATATGTTTTCCATTCGATAATGCTCAAAACATCGTAAGTCGGAAATTCCACTCAGATGCTGCAAGGCTACACCAGTAATTGCTTAGGGTTATGGTTAGGGTTAGGGTTAGGGTACAGGGGACTTCTAAGATAAGTATGGCTCGTTCCCTACAAGTGCCAGAGGCAGGACAGACTCTTGTTCGGGTGGCCAACTTCTCCGACAAAGCTCTCACCTTACGATCACCTCTCCCTGTTGCTGAATACCATACCGTCAGCGGTGTAAGTGGCAGTGCTACTCCTACAGAAATTGGCGTTAGTCCAGCAGCACCTAACCATCCATACTGCTCAGTTATAGACAGAAATATTGAGGATGATAAGCAGGAAAGTACAGAAAGAGAGAATAGAAGGGCAAAAGTTATCCAGCCAAGTTCAGATGGGCTTTCAGATGAGCAGAAAAGGCAATGTTCTACTGATAGACCAATATGAGGGCATATTTGCAATTAACGATTCTGATTTAGGATGATTAGATCTTATGGAACACGACATTAATACTGGTGAGCATGCTCCCATTAAGCAGCTTCCTCGTCGCATACTACCGCACCAGGGGGAGATCATAGATCAACAGCTGGACGAGCCGCTAGCGAATGGTAGAGTTGAAGAGTCGCAGAGCCCCTGGAGCAGTCCGGTTGTTTTGGTAAGGAGACATGATGGAAGTTACCGTATGTGCATTGATTACCGCAAACTGAATTTGTGTACATAGAAAGATGCAATACCGTTAGCGAGGACCGATGATGTCTTGGAAGCGCTGGGTGGTGGCCCATGGTTCTCCTGTCTGTATTTGGCGTCTGGGTATCGGCAGATGCAAGTAAAAGAAGAGGACAGACCCAAAACAGCATTCTCGACCCATCGTGGACAATTCCAATGGAGGGTTATGCCTTTTGGACTCACGAATGGGCCAGCTAGATTTACCAGATTGATGAATCTAGCACTCAGTGAACCGACTTCGACACACTGTCTTGCGTATTTGGATGATATTATTATCTGGGCCCCTTCCCTCGAGGAACATCTGCATCGCCTACGGTTATTATTTGACAGGATACGAACTGCTGCTCTTAAGCTGAAGCCAACTTAGTGTCGGTTTCTAAAGAGAGAAGTTTCGTTCGCAGGGCATGTTGTCTCTTCAGATGGCATCAAAACTGACCCTGACAAGGTCCAGACTGTCAGAACTTGGCCAACCCCAGTAGACATCAAAGAGCTCCAAAGCTTCATTGGTCTTGCCATTACTATAGGCGGTTTATTTCTGGATTCTCGATCGTCGCAGAACCACTCTACGAATTGTCGAGGAAGGGTGTTTCTTTCCAGTGGCAGATGGAACAAGAAAGTGCCTTCAATGAACTGAAACATCGCTTGACCATTGCACCCGTCTTGGCATATCCCGATTTTAGTCCTGATGCAGGATTATTCGTACTTGACACAGATGCCAGCCAACCCTTGGGCATTGGCGTTTTTTTATCTCGATTGCAACGCAATGACACTGAGCGTGTGATAGCTTACGGGAGTCGTTCTTTGAATGAGCAGGAAAAGAACTATTGCGGGACTCGATTAGAGATGCTAGCTCTGGTAAACAATGTGGACCATTTTCGCTATTACTTGGTGGGACAAAAAATTGCGCCTGAGGACTGATAATCACTCATTAGTCTGGCTAATGTCTTTTAAAGAGCCTCAAGGGCAAGTGGCCCGTTGGCTAGGGCGCTTACAGTATGATTCTGAGATACAACGTCACCCGGGGAGGTTACACAACAATGCAGACGCCTTGTCTAGAAGGCCCAGACGACAACATGGGAATTGTCCATCGTGTACTCCAACAGGATTATCCCAAGTTACGGTTGTTGCTAGAGACCTTCCGGTCGGTGAAACCCCACGTGAAGTGAGAAATTGTTGGTACCCACTTTTCACAGGCCCAAAGAGATGATCCAGATATCAGCGTGGTACTTTGTCGTTTGTTGAAAGAGTGGAGGAAACCAGCTGTTGAGGAACTTCACGTCGATGCGCTGTGCTGCTCGTGCTGTCTGGGCCCAGTTTGAACTGTTGTTGCTACAACAGCGGGTTCTCTATATAAAGTCAGCTGCCCACACTACTCAAGCTAAACTGAGGATGGTTGTACCGAAACAGTTAGTGGAGCAGGCCCTTGTCGAAGTTCATGATGGCGTTGCTGGCGCCCACCTTGGAGGAATGGAGAGTCTAATGAAGATGAAAGCTAGATTCCGGAGGCCTGGCACGACCAAAGAGGTGCATTGTTACTACGATCTATGTCTGACATGTGCCAAGTGTAAGCCAAGGGCGAAACCCAGAGCACCACTGTGGTCATTTACCTCTGGCAACCCCATGCAACGCATCCATATTGACATTGTTGCTCCCTTGCCACGGTCTCGGAGAGGAAACCGCTACATTTTAACAGTTCAGTGCAGTCTTACTAACAGGGCTGAGGTGTTTGCAATGTCCAACCAGCGTGCCACAACCTCTGCAAAGGTGCTTGTAAGGAACTGGATCTGCAGATCTGGTGTGCCTGACAGCATTCATAGCTATCAAGGCCGTAATTTCGAGTCAAGAACATTCTCGGAAATGTGCCAAATCTGCAAAGTATTAACAAGACGCTGCACAAAACCTTAAGGAGCATGTTGAAAGCTAGAGTTGAAGATAATCCAGCTACACGGGATGAGCACCTTGATTTCTGCCTGATGGCCTATCGCAGTAGTGTTCATTCCTCCACGGGGCACAACCCGTTCGAGCTCATGTTCGGTAGAGAGATGAGGATACCTTTGGATGTAATGGTTGGCGGTGCCGAAGACAATGACTGTTCCTACACTGATTTCGTTGCTGTAGAACAAGTTGCACAATACTTAACTGCTTGAGGTAGCTCAAATGGTCAAACTAGCTACACGTTTTCAACTGCACCATGAAGCTGAATTGGTTCCAATAGTTCAAATTGTCTAACTGGCTTAATCTATTCGACTGGCCAAAAACATCAAACCAGCGAAGACCGTTAATCTGACAGCAAAAAATGCAAAATCTTTCTCGATTCTTTGAAGGAGTTCAACTTGTCAAATTTGCTCAAGTGGTCTAACTGCACAGGATGCATAAAGCTTTATAGGTTCAATCTAGAAATCTCCACAATGTAGCTAAATTTGTCGAAGTGGTTGAAATGGTCCAAGTAGTTGAAATTGTTCCTCTGGTTTGGTGGTCAAACTAGTGAACAAAGTTGCAGAATCTATCGTAATTCGTTGAAGTCGTTCAAATTGTGAAAGTAACTCATAATTCTTGAAACTGCAGAGAAACTGTACAATCTAGCTGAATTGTTTCAAGTAGTTAAAATTGTCAAAGTAGCCTCATCGATTCAACTGATTGAAAGGTCAAACCAGCAAAGACAGTCAAACTGCACAAATTGCTCATTCTATATGAATTGGTTGAAGAAGTTCAAATGGTCAAACTGACCAATGCGGGCTAATCACACATAATCATTGAAAAGTCAAACTAGTGTGGACAATCATACTCCAAAAATAGCCCAATCTATCTTAATTGGTTCACGTGCTTGAAATGGTCAAACTAGTTTAACTTGCTCAACTGCATGAACCGCAAGATTTAACTGAATTTTTTCATGACAAATCAGCTTAATTGCTTCGACTATTGAAATAGTCAAAGTAGCGGAAACGGTTAAACTGCACAAATTGCAGTCTCTATCTCGACTAGCTGAAGTCGGTGAAATGCTCGAACTAGCTTAAATGCTTCAACTGCACAATATGCACACTTAGCTAAACAGTTTGAACTGCAGATACGGCACAATCTATCATACATGGATGGAATGGTTAAATAGTCCAACTAGGGAAGACTGGAAAAAAAACAGCAACGAGTTAGAACTGTAAAAGTTAGAAATGCAAGGAAGGCTGAAGAGAGAAGAAAAGGAAAGACAAGAAAGGATGGAAGAAAAGGACAGACAAGAAAGGGTGGAAGAGAAGGACAGACAAGAAAGGATGGAAGAAAAGGACAGACAGGAAAGGTGAAATTTGATATCACCGAGTATCTTGAGTTGGTATTTCCATTTCAGGAAGCAGACGCTGATAAGTGTTTCTTGCACTTTGAGAAAGTAGCTGGCAATCTTAAGTGGCCCACGGATTCCTGGGTAATTCAATTACAGAGTGTACTAGTCGGTAAAGCAAGAAAAATTTAAACACGGTTAGGTGTAGAGCAAGCTGCAAATTATGACACTGCTAAGGATATTATTTTAAAGGGTTCTGAAATAGTTGCCGAGGTTCAGATACCGTGAGAAAGTCAATGGTCAGACTTATGTAGAATTTGCTAGAAGTAAGGAACAGTTATTTGATCGTTGATGCCATTCGCAGAGGGTAGATGAGAGTCACGATAGGTTAATGACAGCTAGTTTTAATAGAGGAGTCTAAGAGGTGCATTCACAGTGATGTCCGAACGTTGGTCGATGAGCAAAAAGCACAAACCTTAGAGAAAGGTGCACGACTAGCAGATGAACTTTGGTTGAGGCACAAAGTGAACTTCATGGAAAAACCCCATCAGCTTCACACTTCACCCGCTAGAGTTCTGCCTCCTTCGGTACCACGATGGTTTGCAAAACCAGAGAAGTCGGCAGAATGACGGAGGACAATATGCAAATTTTTACCCTGAATATTACCCGAGTTGTGTGACCTCATGTAACGAGTTTGCTGGACCTCCGGTATTTCTGTCGGCATAATCCTTCGTTGTATCATTTGAAATTAATCCCCGGTCATTATTGAAGCTAGCAAAGAATCATTTCTTCTTTGGTGAATAATTTTATCCGACATACTTTTTCTATGTCGAAAAGTAGCATCAAAACAGAGACAGTTTTAACAATGACCGACACGACAGAACCTACTGAGCCTCTAGCTTTTAAAAGACGAAAGGATGGTTATAAAGTTACTGTAAAAATTTCCATGTGTATTTCTGTTGTTCTATCATATCAGCCATTTGCTAATGTTTTCCGTGAAGTTCGTTTACTCAAATGGCCTGTTACAATCAAGAATTTTGCTCTCGCCTTATAGCTGATGGTTTTGCTTGTTCTTTTGGACAACACAAGTCTGTTAAAAGGGCTCTAGCTTTTGGGGTCTCGGCTTATTGGTCAAGAAATACAGTATATTCGTCTCTTCACCGCGGTGCCCATATATGATTTCATACATCCACAATCATTATTCCATCTTAATTGGTTGACGTATTTTAATTGGTCAGACTAGCTTAAATGGTTCAACTGGACAATATCCACAACTACTTAATAGGTTGAATTGCACAGACTGTACAATCTAGATTTAATGGATCAACTGGTTAAATAGTCAAACTTGGGAAGACATTGGAGCGAAAAAAAGAGAAGAGTCTATCCTAGTTGGACGAGGTAGTTCTAATGGTCAAACTAGCTCCATTTATTCCACTGCACAACCTGCATAATTTAGCTAAATGGGTTCAAGAAGAGAAAATATTGAAACTAACTTACTTGGTTCTACTGGCCAAATATTCAAAACCAGTGAAGACAGTTAAAGTGCAAATATTGCACAATCTTTCTCCACTGGACAAAGTAGTTTATATGCTCTAGCCAACTGGACAATATGCGCAAGAGGTTTAATATGGTGAATTGCATAAACTGCACGATCTAGCTTTGATGGATCGAATGGTTAAAAAGTCAAACTAGGAAAGACAGTCAATCGGAAAAAAGGCACAATCTATCTCCCGTGGTCTAACTGGCTTCAATTATTGAATTGTACAACCCGCACAATCTAGCTGAATTGACTCAAGTACTTTAAATAGTCAAACTAACTTAATTGGCTCAACTGGTTAAATAGTCAACGCAGCGAGGACAGTTCAACTGCATAAACTACACAATCTATCTGAATAGCAAAATATGCACAATCTGGCCTGAATGATTCATTCGATTAAGTAGTCAAACTAGTGAGGACTCTTTACCTGCAAAATTGCGCAATGTATCTAAACTCCTGAAAGTTAGCTGAAACGGTACAACTTGACGAAATGCACACACTAGCTTAATCGATTGGACCCCTCAAAATGTCTCAAGCTAGCATAAACGGTTTATCTGGACGAAATGCACATGGTAGCTGAATTGGTTTAATGTCGTTAAAATAGTCAAATTAGCTGAAACGGTTGATGAGCATGAAATACACTTATTTGACCATTCTACCTACTTTGTGCATTTGTTTCCAGGTAGAGTTTTAGTAAGTTTAACCATTATATCCAGTTAAACCAATTCAACTGTCTAACAGCAATGGTGAAAGAGCAAAAAGACAAGGTACCGAGTCGCAGCTAAAACTCTTCATGTAGGTAGCTCAGGATATTGGTTGCTTGTCTGTTAAGAGGCGACAGCAGCATTCTGAACGCTCAAATGTCTTCCCAAGTTTGACTATTTAACCATAATTCTCTTTCAAAGGCATCTCGAAAGGACTAAGATTAGCTTTAGTTAACTCACAAGCTCTAAAACGCTTACTGCAAAAATCTGAATCATACTGCAAGAGATTCGTAGACTCAGTGCTGCTAGATAATAACTTCTTTTTAAGCAGTTTAAGAGGTCCTCTCACAGTGTGCTCAAATACAAGCTCGAATGGACTGAATCCTAGAGACTCCTGTACTGACTCAGCTGCAGCAGACAGTCGTAGATGGCTACCCTCGTCCCCATCCTCCTCTGTTTCGAAACAGTAGATCCTCATCATGTTCTTCAGTGTTTGGTGCCATCTTTCGAGAGCTCTTTGACTTTGAGGGTGACATGCGGTTGACATATACTGTGTGACTCCAAGCTCGTGCATGACGTGTTGAAATATGCCACACAACATTGGAACCTTGGTCAGACTGGATAGAACTTGGGAGACCTACCGGTGTAAAGAGCTTGGTTAAAGCTCTGACTATGACCTTTGCACTGATATTTCTCAAGGGCACGGCTTCAGGAAATCTACTGGATGCACACATGATGGTCATCAAATACTGGTGTCCAGACCTCTTCTTAGGTAGACAATCTAAACAATCAACAATGATTCTTCTGCTGGATGGCTCTTGAAGGGCTGGTAGTGGCTAACGATACTTTTGGAACGATCTGATTCGGTTTCAAAGCCATCTAACAAGTGTGAAACGACTTGCAGTATTGCGCCACAACCTTTGTTAGACTGAGCCAGTACAAATGGTCTAAGAACCTCTGGCAGGTTTTGTTGACACCCAGGTGGCCAGACAAGGGGTCTCATCCGCTGTGCTTAAAACGTCCGGTCTGTAGGTCTTTGGGACAATCATCTGGTACTGGACAGCCCACTCCTCTTCTGTGGGAACATGGTGTGGTCTACACGTTTTCATCAGCACTCCATTCTTCGTAAAGTAACAGGTGGGGTTCTGAGATACTTCGCTTTCACTAACACTTCTTCAAAATGTAGGTGAGACTTCCGGGTCTTCGTGTTGTTCTGCAATGAGTTGAGAAGTTGACATCTTTTCGACCTGTTCCATTGAACTTTTCTCAGAAAGTACTTATACTGGCTGAGAGAAAGAGGGATTCGGTTGCTCACCCGTAAGGACCTGGCTGATGGCGGTGTCAGCTAATGTTACCCCTTTTGTCTCTGGATTCTAATTTCTTACTTATGACTCGC